CATATTCAATACTTTTGTCTCTTCTTCCAGCTTAATCCTTTAGATTATCCTTTTCTTGTTGTTTAACAAATAATGAATACTTCCAATCAAACATCCTACGAGAATGCAATCACCCATGATTTTAGGGTTTATCTTAAATCTACCAGCAAGACAAATCATTTGCTTCACTATGTATCTTCTTTTAGGTTTTCATGTAGTATCAACTGTCTAATAGGTTTTCATGTAATATAAACTAACTAATATCTTTTTATGTTATTTTCAATTTAAAGGTCTTTAAGACCATAACATTCTTGCTCGCTTCAATTTTAGGAGAAAGGTTTGCCTCTTCAAGCTCAAACACATCCAAGAAAGGCTACCCCTCCAAGAGAAACATGTCCAAGAAAGACTACCCCTCTAAGAGAAAGAGCGACCACTTAACCACCAAAAAAATACATCATGGATGAAGAAAACTCCTTTCATGCTAAAAGATATTGATTGAATTCAACATTAAATTTTTTTTTTGGTTTTGTCTTGGTCTTTTTCAAAAAACAAAAAAAATCATATCATTGTAACTTCTATGAATGGTGCAAAGTAGCATTAAATTTTTTATAAGACTAACATATAGCTTGATTAATTTATAATTGGTATTGTTTTTTCCACCATCTTTATAGATTAATGCAATTTTCTTATAATGTTAGTTGGTTCTTATACTCTATACTTTAGCTTGCAAAAGAAATCACCAAAAAATTTTAAAAATTAAATATATAAATCACCAATCTTATAAATTTAACACTTTAAGAATAAATATTCACACTTTTATACTTACAAAAATTAAAAAGAGACAAATTGATTACTAAAAAATATTTAAAACTTATTACTACTACTACTATAATAAAAGGACTTTTTTTCTCCTAAAAGAGACTTATGATTAATATGGATCTAGTATTCTCTTGAATTTGTTTATATCTATCTCTTCATGTATACATTTTTATTTTTTATTTAAAAATTTGGACGGTAAACATAGAAGTCAAGCGAACATTTAATTAGCCAAAGTAATCACCTTTTGACCATACAGTATTTTAATTAGAATTTTATTTTATTAATATTAATCTGCATAAAATGAGAAAATAAATATTATACCGTGTAATTAACTATATATTTTATTTTAATTAATTATATATTGAATTTTTTAAGTTTATTGAATAATAATGTATATTGTCTATATTATATTTAGAAAATAATAATAAACAATTTTATATAGTATTGATATTGATTTGTTTAGTATTTAATTTGATTTTTATGTACAAAAATTATTTCACACATGATTGTATTTCATTTTTTTAATGGAACTACTAAATTTCTATTTTACTTAATTATATATTTCATTTTTCAATTTCATTGAATAATAATAAATCTTGTCTACATTATATTTTAAATAGAAAAATAATAAATTTCATATAGTATTAGTATTGACTTATTCAATATTTATTTTCGTTTTTTCCATGATTATATTTTTCTTTTTTTAGGGTTTTAGGATTTTAGGAAAAAATAATAAACCTTGTCAGGCTTTCGTCCACCACCTCTTCCTTTACTTGTAGCATCATCTCTTTGGTTGCCTTTGTTTTAGGGTTTTCTCTGATTCGACCAGTTTTTTTTTTGCTGATTTTGACCAGTCAAATTGTTGTAGCCTTCTCTACTTTTGTTGCCATTCCAACTTCTTTTGCCTTTTCTTTCCTTTTCTGACTGCGCCTGCAAAGCCATATCACATTTCGACTTTCCTGCAACTCTCTCAGGCAACCTTTGTTCACGAGACTCAAGTGTTCCTTGAAACTCTTCCTTCGTCAATGTTGACAAGTCTTTCGACTATTCTATGACTACTACCACATGGTCGAACTTTGGAGCCAACAACCTCAATATCTTTGCAACAACTAATCTTGATGTCAACACTTCTCCACGTACCTTGATTTGATTCACCAGCTTTGTAACTCTAGTGAAGAAATTTATTATACTTTCACTTTCTTCCATCTGAAGCAATTCATAGGTTCTCTTGTGAGTTTGTAACCTCACTTCTTTCACCTTTTCTGCGTCTCCAAATGACTTTTCAAGAATCTCCCACGCTTCCTTCGCTGATTCTACATCACTAACCTTTTTAAAATTATATGGATCTACACATTGATGGATTATAAAGAGAGCTTTATAATCTTTTTTCTTCAATTTTTTGAATGCAGTCTTTTCTTAATCTGTCGCGTTTTCTACAAGCGGTGGTGTTACTCCTCCCTTCACAAGATTCCAAAGATCTTGATAACAATAAACCACCTTAATCTGTTTGCACCAATTCTCATAGTTATCTTTCTTGAGAATTGGAAGATTCGTCGAAAAGTGTTCGTTTGGATGATTCATCGCCATTGCGATTTTCCTTCCTTGAATCGCAATCGGAACTCTAGATACCAGATGTTGGAAATTCACCCACAACCTATGGAGAATTTCACTCGATCAATCATGATCTCAAGATTGTTTCAACCCACGTAATGACAATGAAAGAAAAATTTAGAAAGAATGAAAGAAAGAAAGTAAAATTTGGAGAAGAAAAAGATGAACAATTTTCTGCAGAGAACTCTCTGCCCACAAACTATGAAAATTCTGTTATTTCACTTGCAACTGCAAGTTGTGAATTACAAAATATGATGAGTTATTTACAAAATAAAGGTTTCTCCCTGTTTATAGATTTAGGTTTGCTTGCACCCCAAACTAAAGTCCAAAATTATAAAAGCCAAAAATAGTTAACATTACTAAAATAGGTCTAAGTCAAAATTATGTGTGAATCAACCTGCTCCGACACTTCGACACACTAAGCAACCCGACACACTAACACATTAAGCTAATTTGACTAATTCTTATTTATGTCGAACTACACTGCTTCTACACAAAAAATTACAAACTCAACAATTACAACACCAAAACTTTTCAACAAAGTAAAATTCGAAATCAAAACATAAAAAATATTATTAGTACAATTATTCATCAATACAATCTGGTTTTAAATGTCCGAGATAGATCTTTTATTTTGTTTCATATTATCATCTTTAGATTATTTCTAATAGTCCAATTAATAGATAAAGTAAAAGCTACTTTAAGCACAATGTGAGTTTCGATAAATTGCTCAAACTTATACTACTATTAGTATTAAAATGACTTTTTCCTTTTCTTTTAAAAGAGACTTATGATTAGTATGGAGCTACCACTCTCTAGAATTTGTTCATTTCTATCACTTCATGTAATAGGTTTTCATTTTTGATTTTAAGAATTTGGACGGTAAACATCAAAGTCAAGCAAACATTCAATTACTCAAAGTTTCATCATTATCATACACCAATTTTATGTTAACGTGCATTTCCAAGTTGAAATAATTATAGTTCATGTATCACTTTAGACATGAAAGTGAAAATTAGTAGTTAAATCCACAATAATGGGATTGTTATTTTGATTTTTTTTAATTATTTAAGTTCAAATATGATTTTCTTAATAAAAAAATAATGCTAAAGTTCAAATTTGATGGAAAAATATAAATTTCATATAGTATTAATATTATTTATTTAACATTTATTTTCATTTTTTCCATGACTATATTTCTTTTTAAAAAAAAATAGAATTAGCACATTTTTACCTCTTTATAGAAAGTTGCATAATGATAAATTTTTAAATTCATTTAATTTTAAAACTTTTGACAAAATTAATATATTTCCATATTTTGTTTCCAAATTATTATTTCTTGACCAAATTTTTATTCACATTATTATGTTTCTTTATTATTGACCAAATTATCATATTACCATACGCCCTTATAGAAATTTGCTTAACAATAACTTTATATTCATTTAATTTTAAATTTTTTGACAAAATTATTGTATTTTCATGTTTTTGTCCTAATTGTTACTATTTCTATTTTTTTTGATATAATTTTAATTCTCATTATTATATTTATTTATTTATAATTGACCAAATAATTATATTTATATATCCTTTCATAGAAAATTGCCCAACAATAAATATAATAAAATCATTAATCCAATTTCAAAATAATCAAATCATAATATTTCCATACGCCCTTATAGAAATTGTTTGTAATAAAACTTGATCTAGATTTTTTTTCAAAGAAAATTCAACCTAGATTAATCAATAGTAACATTATTTTTCATGAAATCAAACCAAAAAAGTTACCAATACTAATGTGTATAGTAAAAAGGTAGTAATAGTAAATGATATCAACTTATTTATTTTTCCAATGATTTTACTTTTATATGTTCATGTACAATGAAAAAGATTTTTAACACAGAAAAAGAGTTAGAATGAGTGGTTTACTAGATTGACTAATAAAAAAAATACAAAAACTAAAACCCTATAGGAAAATGACAAGTTAAATATTATTGGAGGTTCAATAATAGACTTTTAAAGCCTAAGATTCTGTGTTTAATCACACAATCCAAATCAACGGTCCAAAATCACTCATCACACCCAAACACTTGATAAAACAAAAATTAATCCGCCACACAATTATCCGCCACGTGGCATTCAATCAACGGTTCAATTCTCATTTCCATTTCCTGTTTTGTCTTTAGCCTCAGCCTAATTTCATGTGATTTTTTCTCTCTCTCTCCTCTCTCTCTCTCTCTCTCTCTCACTCTATCTCTATATTATAAACCTCTTCAATTCTCACATATAAAGAGAGTGAAAGAAAAAAAATAATTAATTTAAAAAAAAAAGAAAAAAAGTGTGTTATCTTTCAAAGGTTATTAGCAACAAGGAGAGGCTAGAATTGCTCTCAAATCTTGAAAAAGGTTAAAAACTTATCCTATCTCTTTTCTTCTTCTTCAAACACAATATATATTGCATTTTTCTTTCATCACTATAAATTCTTTTTCTCTTCACTCTTTTTTCTCTCCTTCAACTTTTTTTCAGATTGGTAAATTATTACTCTTTCTTTTCCAAATTTTGCTTTTTTTTGTTCTTCATAGAGGAGAAAAATGGCCCCAAAATCAGGGAAAGGGAAAACTAATAAAGCAAAGACAGAGAAGAAGAAAAAGGAGGAGAAAGGTCACATTCTTTTTCTCAATTCAACAATTTTATTAAAAAAAACATAGTTTTTATGTCTTCTTTTATCCTTAAACCTTTGTGTTTGGTTTTTATTTTTATTTTTTGGTTTTTTTCAGCAGTAGCACCTTCTCTTGTTGACATCATTGTGGTTACTCCCTATGATTCACAAATTGTACTCAAGGTATATACATTTTATTTAACATTTATCAAAATTATTATTATTATTATCTTAATTAATTGAATGAAGATTAATATTATTAATTTTTTTGTTTTGTAAAAGGGTATCTCTACTGATAAGATTCTTGATGTGAGGAAGCTATTGGCTGTGAAGGTGGAAACATGCCATTTCACAAACTATTCTTTATCTCACGAGGTTTGTGTTTTTTAGTTAATTAATAATTTATTCCTAACAAGCCATATTTTAATTAATTAATTAATTATTTTTATTATTATATTATTGATTTTGTTTTTTTGTTCTTCTTAAGGTTAAGGGTCAAAGATTAAATGACAAAGTTGAAGTTGTTGCCCTAAAGCCATGTGTTCTAAGAATGGTTGAAGGTAGGTGTAGCTAGCATTGTACCTGTTATTTATTTAACATCAACAACCATTTGTGTCATTTTTGCATGTGCATTCACTTAAATCTACCATGTGAATGAATTTTTTTAAGCAATTCTAAAATAAGTGCTTTCTTGTATCTTAGCAAAATGAGTAATAACTTAATTAAAGGTAATACACAACTCATAAACTAAAATTTACGTTAAAATATGGACGGTTCAATTAAGTGATATATTAGTATTTTTAAATAGAATTTAATTTTTGTTATATTTAATGGTTATTACTTCATCTATCTACCAAATTGATGATTCTTTAAAGATTCATAGAATTTTAACCAATTTTGTTGCAATCAATACCCTTTCATTTTTGTTGAAACATATGGGATCTTTCAAAGTCTATGTTTAATGCAATGTTATTTTAGTATTTTTAAAATGTATAGTAGTAGAATGATATTTAAGATTGAGAATCTATGAAATTTCAATGGATTTTCTCTCATTAAACTTTGTCAAAGGTCTAAATCAATGTTGAACCATTTCATAATGATTTATTATTTTAGATATAAATATTTAGAGATTGGAATAAACTATATGGTAAAAATTCATGTGAGTAACCTAACTTAAAATTTATAGTTAGCAATTGCTCTTTAATGCTTTACATACTGCAGAAGACAGGTTGCATCTAACAAGTCATTACATATTTTATGGCAACATAAAAATATCATTTTCTTGGGTCCCTTGTAATTCTCAAAAGCAATTAAATTCATTCTTTCAGATGCTTTCAACAAAATCAATTTTTTTATTAAAAAATATATCATAAATTTTTTTTTTAATTTATAAGTTTTTTTTATACTTTACTTTTTGTATATAATAATAAAAATTATACAAAAATAAAAGATAAATAAATCATAAATTGCATGCCAGCCTTAATTCATCATCAGCTTGCATTATTTCATATATGATTAAAATACAAATCATTTTTTTAATATTTAATGTTTATGATTGTTTTCTAAAAATTAATTTAAATTTTTTATAATTTTTTATTGAAAAATGTGAATATTATAGTCATTTTCAATTGCGGTGACATTTGTTTTCTAATGATGCATTATTGGATACCTATTGTTTTGTTTCTGCCATTTATTTAATCAAGTTGCATTTTCAACCTTTTAAAAATATCTCCATCACATGTTTATATTATGTTCGGAGCGTAATTTTTTAAATTAATTTTTAAATTAAAAAATAAATTACACTCGTGCGAAGACTATAATTGAATGCTATTTGGAAAGTCACGTGACTTTTTTTGTTACAGAGGATTATAATCAAGAGATTCAAGCAGTTACACACGTGCGAAGGCTATTGGATATTATTGCTTGTACCTCGAAATTCGGAAAGCCCAAACGTAACTTGTCAGGCCCAGATTCGAAGCCCAAGAAAAACGGAAAAGCCCAAAATCATAACAAGAGCAGTCTGAGTCCACCGGCTACACCGAATGGAGAAGGCCGGGTCGGGTCACCGACGGCGGAGGTGTCGGCATCGCCGATCTCGGATAATGTCGGAATGGTGGCTATTCACCCGACGCCGAAGCTGTCAGATTTTTACGAGTTCTTTTCGTTTTCGCATCTCTCTCCACCGATTTTACGTGCGTTTCTATCTCTATTTTTCATGCGTTTTTGTTTGCTGAATTTGAATTTTGAAATTGGAGACGTTTTTTTTTTCAGATTTGAAGAAATGTGAACTGAAGGATGAAGATGAACGACGCAAAGGAGGTTACTTTCAACTTCAGGTTCTACCTTTTTTCTTCTTATTTTCTTCATTAAGAAATGTAGTTTAGTGTAATCAAGTTTGTGATTAAGAAATGTAGTTTAGTTTAACTAACTTTTTGATTAAGAAATGTAGTTATGACACCTTCGAAAAAATGTGTGTATGTATTAGTGTGCGGTGTTGACGTTGAAACTTATAATTATGTTTAATTTATTATTTTTTTTGAATTATTATCAACATGTCAATATCGATATCATGTTTCCATTGTTCGTTGCTTCATAGGTAGTTAACTTTTATGATAGAAGAAAATTTAAGTTGAATATTAAAGAATTGAATGCACTCATTCTAACGTAATATTGCTATATTTAAAGCTGAATGTGAAATGTTGTTGAAGGTTAAAATCAGCAATGGCAAAGTGATTGAAGTGGTTGCTTCAGAGAAAGGCTTTTATAGTGTGGGGAAGCTGTCTCTGCAGAGTCACACATTAGTTGATCTTTTGCAACAGCTCAGCAGAGGTTTTGCTAACGTACGTTTCTATTTAAACACTTATTTATTTGTTTGTTGGTCTTGTTAGTTTCTCAACCTGATGTATCAGTATCCACTTGAAGGGTTATAGTGTCTTATATGTTTAGTCCCATTTGATAGTTTTATTAGGGTATATATTTTATTTTGTTTAAAAAATCTTATGTACTCTTCAAAGAAATTTATTTTAAATTTAGTATAATCAATTTCTTCCATGGATTCATAGCTTCCGAATTTGTAAGAATATCTGCACACACATTTCCTTTCCGAGTATGTCATATAGTGAAGGTGCAACTCTGACTTGAAGTGAATAAAAATAGTATGAAATCAATTTAATTTAGTTAGCTTTCTCAAAAATCAAATAATAACAATTATATAAATATCCTTTTTAGGAAAAAAATGTAAAATATGTTAACTTAGTGATATCCATGACATTAAATGTGTGCTAGTGATAAATGATGTGTTTGGTTTTGTTCAGATTCCAATGCATAAGCATGTTATCATTTTTGGTCTAGTGATATATGTTTTCATCTTTGACTCTAACAAATGACTGATCAATACAGGCATATGGATCATTGATGAAAGCTTTTTCGGATCGCAATAAGGTTAGCTTCACATAAAATAAGTTGTTTATTTCCTTTTTTTTCAAGAACAAGAGTTCATAACAAGTTTTAGACATACATCCAATAAAATTGTATTATGCAAGATGATGAAGTTCATTGGACCTGTTAATTCCAGTCTCAGTATGATTATTAAACTTGAAAAGAATGTGTTTTCTTAATTAATTGCATAATTCTGCAGTTTGGAAATCTTCCATACGGACTCCGATCCAACACATGGCTTGTCGCTCCATCTGTTGGCGAATCTCTTTCAAACTTTCCAGCTCTACCTGCCGAGGATGAAAGCTGGGGTGGTAATGGTGGTGGCCAAGGAAGAAATGGTGAATATGATCATCGACAATGGGCAGCAGATTTTGCAATATTGGCTTCTCTTCCTTCCAAAACCGAGGAAGAGAGGGTGATCAGAGATCGTAAAGCCTTTTTACTTCACAATATGTTTGTTGATACCTCGATATTGAAGGCTGTTGCAGCTATACAGCATGTGATGGAGTCCAAGTCTAGTATGAATTCTTCTCCGGGTTCTGTTCTGCATCAAGATCATGTTGGAGATTTATCCATCGTAGTCGAACGCGGCGGAAATGGAAAGTTTGACTCTACACTGAATGAATCCATTAAGCGTAATGACGAAATTCAGAAAAACTTAATCAAAGGGTTGTCTGCTGATGAAAGTGTCATTGTTAATGTAAGTAAAAAATAACCCCATTTTTCAAGATTATATATGTACATGCTTATGTGTATTTAGAGCTTCAAATGTATGACACATACACATGTCTAATTTCACCTCTCTTTGTTTTGTTATTTTATTAAAATCATATTGATGATTGATTACCATTACATCATTTAAAAAATTTCAGTGTAAATTGGTTTTGAACTTGAGTGGTTAGAGCTTTTCAATATATAGGATGCTAAGATGAGAGGCTTTTGGTCTTTTCTTTATGACAGGATACTTCTTCCTTGGCTGTTGTGGTTGTTCACCATTGTGGATATACAGCAACAGTAAAGGCTGTGGGTAATGCGAACACGAGGAAGTCTAAAGTTCAGGATATTGAAATAGAAGATCAACCAGAAGGAGGCGCAAATGCTCTTAATATCAACAGGTTTGGACAATAAGCTTTTCTAGCTTCTTGTGTTGTATATCATATCTGGTTAAACATTTAGATCTAATTTGTATGTACTCATTAAATATGTTTGATTTTATTATAACCATTTTAAAGTCACATAATGGTAGGTTGTGATTGATTGATAATATAAAATTATGGTGATGGTTGCAACTTTTTTATGATGTTTGCAGTTTGAGGGCACTGCTTCACAAGTCAGGAGCTGAATCTTCAGAGGGGACTTTAACTTCCTTGTCAAATTTTGATGACTTGGATGCTTCAAAAACTATTGTTGGGAAGGTGGTTGAAGAATGCTTTGAAAAGATAAAGGAAGAGACAAATGTTTCAAATAGGTCGATTCGATGGGAACTTGGTTCTTCTTGGATGCAGCATCTGCAGAAACAGGAAACTTCAACAGATATCGGTTCTAATAACAAGGATGGCAATGATGCTGCGCAATCTGTGAAAGGTCTTGGAAAGCAATTTAAGTTATTGAAGAAGAGAGAAAAGAAACCAAGTGACTTAAATGTTGCAGATTCTAGTGAGCAAAATATCAATGAGCCAAATAATGATGAATTAAGTAGTTCTAATGAGTTGGAAAAACTACTTTCTAAAGAAGCTTTTTTGAGTCTCAAAGAATCTGGATCTGGTCTTCATACGAAGGTTTGTGATACTTTCTGTTGATGTACTTTCTTGTGTGTTGTGACTGTTAAGAGTCCCACATCGGACAATATATGGCATGAACATGTGTTTATAAGTGGGGGTAATCCTCACTCTACCAACCGGTTTTGTAGGGTTGAGTTAGACCTGACCACATTTCTTAACAGTGACTAATCTAATTGTTTTTGTTCTGTACCTCTTTTAATTTGTATTATCCTGAAACAGTCAGTGGATGAACTTATCAACATGGCACACAAGTTTTATGATGAAGTTGCCTTGCCAAAGCTGGTAACATTACATTCTTCAACGGACTCTACATTTCTTTGAATAATAACTTGAAAGTTGAATCCATGGATTAAGAACTATGTTACTTGCTTACTTTTGTAGGTTACAGATTTTGCATCACTTGAACTTTCTCCTGTTGATGGTCGTACTTTAACTGACTTCATGCATTTAAGGGGACTTAAGATGGGATCTTTGGGTGAAGTGGTAAGTAACTTTTCTTATTATCGTTGATTCCTCTAGAAACATCTTTGCACGCTGAGGATGACCTTTCTGTGTTTGGGCCCTGTCTTACAAGTGTTACTGTCAGTAGGTAAACTCGAAGCTAATCCAAACAGACCCGTAGTAATGTTATTTATGATTGAAATGTTGAGTTTTTTTTAATGTTTTGACAGCTACTTTTGTAGAGTAAATTACTAAATACTGTGGCTAATTACACTTGTTTGGTGATTAATTTTATTTTTGTTGGTTCTAATATCATATATGAATCAGGTTAAACTTGCAGAGAATCTTCCACACATACAATCCCTTTGTATTCACGAGATGATAACTCGAGCGTTCAAGCATCTACTTAAAGCAGTTATTGCTTCTGTCGACCATGTAGCAGATTTACCATCAGTCATTGCGTCAACACTGAATTTCTTACTTGGAGGGTCTCGAACTGAAGATACAGACCAAACTTCTGGTGATGATCATCATCTAAAAATTCATTGGTTACGGATGTTTTTGTCCAAAAGATTTGGTTGGACATTAAAAGATGAATTTCAACATTTGAGAAAGTTGTCTATTCTTAGAGGGCTCTGTCACAAGGTATCGGTTGTTTCGTTTAATTACTTATTATTTTCTTTTTACATTAATCTTTTACTGATTACCAATGTTTTAAAAACCGGACCGAACCGGCCGGTTCAACCGATTAGAACGGGAACCGGAGATGAATGCGGTTGGGTCCCTTTTAAAACCGCTAGTGGGTAAAAACCGGGGTTAAATCGGATTGAACCGTCCAAAACCATTCGAACCAAAGAACCGGAGCCGATTTTGTAAAACCATCCGGTTCAAAAAAATTCATCAAATTGACAATTTTTTTTAATATGTTAATAACAAAACTTAACATACATTTCCCAATCACAAAAATGAGTTCCGTATGTTTTTTATAATCATACAAATTTCTAAGTTTTGTCACTCCAATATAGCACACCATCATCATTATGCCGTCTTTTTTAAACATAGTCACGATGTCCAATTTTATTGATTGTAGTTCAAGTCAATATTGTTTGTTGTTGTCTATTAAAACTTGTTTGTCGTAGTTCAACTCAAATTCGATTTTTTGTGATTTAATGAAGTATATTGTATTATTTATAATTTGGTAATCTATCTTGTTTAATTTAGGTATTCTTAATTATTTGAACTTTATTTTAGTTATTATATTCTATTATTTTAATCTTGGTTTGATTTAGTTTAATTTATTTTGTTGTAATTTTTTAGTTTGGTCAAAATATTCTTAAATGATGGTTGAAATGAAGTGTAGAACTATGTTAATGTTATGTATTATTGATATTGTTGTATTAAATTTGTAATGAATTTTTGAAATATTTATTTTATTACGTTGAGAACATATAATAATGTGTGACATATCTATGAAATTTAGTTTCATATTATTAGTTTATTTAGTAAATGGTTCGACTATAGGTTTAACCGATTTAACCAATTGAATCTTAAACTGTAAGTTTTACCAGTTTGATCTCCGATCCGGTTTTTAAAACATTGCTGATTACAATGGTATTTTTGCTCAGGTTGGATTAGAGTTGTTCTCTAGAGATTATGACATGGAGTCGCCTAAACCGTTTGGGAAGTTCGATATTATCAGCCTTGTTCCTGTTTGCAAGGTGTGGTTTTTTTCATCTATCAGACCCAAGTCCCATTATATGAATAATAATTCATTAAATTTACTCTCTCATTATACTATTTGTTGAGTTTTTGATTATATGTAAAAGATGAGAGAAAAGTGTTATTGATAATTGCTATCCATGATAATAATAACTAATATCAAATCTGATATTAAGAGATACTCAATTAATATAAATAATATTATAAGATATTTATAATATTTTAATACTATTTAACAACAACATCATATTTTACTTTACAGCATGTGGGATGCTCCTCAATAGATGGACGCAATTTATTGGAATCATCTAAAATTGCTCTTGATAAAGGAAAGCTTGAGGATGCTGTGAGCTATGGAACAAAGGTAATGATCAATTACTTGGAACAAACCATTATGTGTTTTTTTAATAGATATGGCGCCTGACATTACTATCATATTACAGGCATTGGCAAAGATGATGACTGTTTGTGGTCCATATCATAGGAATACTGCAAGTGCGTATAGTCTTCTCGCTGTGGTTCTCTATCACACAGGAGATTTTAACCAGGTAAAGTATACTTGTCATATTTTAGTTCCAGGCTATTCTAGAACTTGGAGATATATATTGTTTAGTTTTTCATGATACTAGTTTAAGCCTAGTGATGATAACAAAACAGTTTTTCCTAATCTACCAAGTTTTCAAGGTAAAGAAAAGGAAGAAAGGTTAAAAGGAAAAATATGTTACAGAGATGGTGTACCTATGTATGACAATTAATCAATTGTTTTAAGCACTGTCTTAAGAAAGTGCTACTAGTTGTATGTGGATGGTGGATCAGTGTTGACAAACATTAGATTGACCTATGTGTCATGTAGTGAATAATTGAAAGTTCAGTATTTGTATTAAATTTTTGCTATACCATCTTTATTTTCAGGCCACCATTTATCAGCAGAAGGCATTAGATATCAACGAGAGAGAGCTTGGACTTGACCATCCTGACACAATGAAAAGCTATGGTGATCTGTCTGTTTTCTACTATCGTCTGCAACATATTGAGCTGGCTTTGAAGTAAGTTAACCTTTGTTGAAGTGATTTAGTTGCTTGTGTCAGTAATTTCTGTTGATTGTTCATAAACTTACTGTGTTTTGATTGAACTTCATGCATATTTTGACAGGTACGTTAATCGCGCTCTATTCCTCCTTCATTTCACATGTGGTCTGTCTCATCCAAATACGGCGGCAACTTATATAAACGTGGCAATGATGGAAGAAGGCATGGGAAATGTTAATGTGGCACTTCGGTACCTGCATGAAGCTCTTAAATGCAACAAAAGATTGTTGGGAGCAGATCATATACAGGTATCTCTATCTTTCTCCTATAGAACATTGTAAGAGCATTGACAGAACATAGTTTCATACTGTACTTTTTATCTTATAGACTGCTGCAAGCTACCACGCCATAGCCATAGCTCTTTCGTTGATGGAAGCATATTCTCTAAGTGTGCAACATGAGCAAACTACACTTAAGATACTTCAAGCAAAGCTTGGTGCAGAAGATCTTCGAACTCAGGTCATTCCCTTTCTTAAGTTATTACCAGTGAATCTCGAAGGATATGTTGTTAGATACTCCCTCTGTTGCCAAATTTATTGTTGTTTTTAACACAAAAAATGTTCCAAAAAAGTGTTGTTTTTTCATTTCTAACGCTAAAAACAATAATGTTTGCACTGCTTTCAAGTCATTACATTACAATATACATTTATAATAACAGTGGCCAACAACCAATAATTAATAAGGATAATTATGTAAAATTGCAACATTTGTTAATTTATTTGTTTTTTGTAATCTGTGTGTTAAAACTTATGACGGTGGTTATTTTGTTTCCATAATATAGGGTTAGTAGATGATAGGGATAGTGTTAATTTTTTTTTTTTTTTTTTAAATTTGGAAATTTTTCCAATGCAGGATGCCGCTGCATGGCTAGAATATTTTGAATCAAAAGCCATAGAACAGCAAGAAGCAGCAAAAAATGGAACTCCAAAGACAGATACATCCATTGCAAGTAAAGGTCACCTTAGGTACTTACCTGGAATCCATTCATTAATACTGTGTTTCAAATAAATAGGTTAAACATGTTACACTACAAAAATATGTGAATTTTTTCATGCAGTGTGTCAGATCTCCTGGATTTTATTAGTCCTGACAGCGATTCAAAGGGAAATGATGCTCAAAGGAAACAAAGGCGTCCAAAGGTGGGATAATATATATATTTTTACATGTTTATTTATTCTTAAAATTTAAACTGCTCTAAGGGATTCAGTTCTGTTTTGATCATATTTATTCTATATCCTTAGGATATGCTAAGGTAATTTATGCTATTTGTTTCTTGAATAAATATTTCTTGTATATATCTCTTTACAATTTACCGAGCTGTTTATTTATTACTGTCCTTAAGGAAAACAATGAAGACTATGTTCCAACGATTGGGAGTTTTAATCTTTATTAAAGTCAACATTGAAGGACATTCAACCTATTACATTCTTTTGGAGTTAGCTTATAGTTCTAGGTGAAGTTCTATGAGAGTCTGAAAAGTTTCAAATCAAAACTAATTCTTAAAATTTTTTATGTCACTTTTATATGTGATTTTTTCAGATACTTCCAATAAGTGACAACAGCTCTCAAGAACATGATGATGCTGCAATAGTGGATGATGGAGTTTTTGTTGAGAATGCAAAATTAGCTGCACCAGTGGTGGAAGGAAAAATAGAAGAAACAAATGCCACAAAAATTTCTGAAAAACCAAAAGTAATCGAGGATCTTAGCAGGTACAAGCCATTGGTTACAAGTGAAACTGTTTCTGAGACATCATCCGATGAAGGTTGGCAAGAAGCCAATTCAAAAGGGAGGTCAGCTAACGGTTCTAAACGCAAGTCTGGTCGTAGACAGAGGCCTCTTCTATCGAAGCTCACTGTTAACGGTCCTGATAGCCATATTTACAAAGAAGCCAGTTACAGGAACGACACTATTGCCGTGCACCAAAAAGCATCTCCAAAGGTAGCTTCAGCTGTGTTATCTCCATCCAGAAAATCAAAAACTCTAAAAGCTTTGCAGTCTAAAACTGCTTCTACTCCAACCTCACTGAGTTCTTTGGCCTCAAAGTCTATATCATACAAAGAAGTTGCTGTAGCACCGCCAGGTACCGTTTTAAAGCCATTGGTGGAAAAAACCGAGACAGAAAAGGTAAGCGATGAGAATGAGACCCCAAAAATTGAAGGTTCTATCCAAAATCCTATAGCCGATGATACAGTTCCGAAGGAAGATGAAAAAGAAGCGACTCATGAAGATGAACCGGAACAAGAAAATTCTGCATCAGAACTAGAGAATGTTTCTTTTTCAAGTGATCAAGCAAAACCTACAGAATCAAATGGAAGTAAGCTTTCAGCTGCAGCAAAACCGTTCAGTCCAGGAACGTTGTCTGCTTCTCGCCAGTTAAATCCTGTTCCTCTTGCAAGCATATATGATGCAGATGGTAGTCAAGGCATTCTCGTGGAGCCCATTCTTCCTCCTGCTGCTGCCCGGGTCCCTTGCGGGCCAAGATCACCATTGTATTACAGAACCAATTATATGTTTCGCATGAAACACGGTTCAGCGAAAATAAGGGAAATAAGTGGATCAGGCGGTCCAAAAATAATGAATCCACATGCTCCTGAGTTTGTTCCAAGACGCGCTTCTCAAGCAGAAACAGGCGAAGTCAAGAATAATTCTTCAAAAAACAGTCTTTCGGAATCTGAGAAGTCAGAGATAGCAAGACAGATATTGCTGAGTTTTCTAGTGAAATCGGTTCATCAAAATGCTGATACTGTGGATGAGCCTAAAGTTAGTGAAGGAAAAGTTGAGAAATTTGAAAATTCTTCTGACGAAGTTGCAAAAGACAGTGCTGTCATAAAAATAATGTATGGTACTGAAGAAAAAAATAAGACAGCGGTTAGTTCCAGTGATGACAGTGAAGAGCAAGACAAAATAGATGGTGAAGGATTTGTAGTAGTGACAAACAGGAGGAAAAGCAGACAGAAAATCACAAATGGTGTCACAGAATTGTACAACCAACCATCAATTTGTGCTTCGGTTCGTTGATTAGAGCGTTGAAATGAGTCACCAAAATTATCCAAATTTGTTTGCTTTGTATGGCCAAAGCTCTTGACATCATATTGTTAATATTATATGACCTCACTGAATTTTGGTCATTACATTCATTTTTGTTTTATGTTTATATAATAAGGTATTTAAGGTATTTTTGCTTTCTCCATATAATAAGATACTTGGAAATTTTGTCGTCAATAAAAAGCTGATTGAGAAGTTCACATTAGTATTGTTTTATTTATTTATTTTGTATTACTAAGATGTTTTGTTACTGATAGAAGTATGTATCACCGAAAGTTGATTTAGTTTATAAGATTGCTATTTATACCCTGTGAATCAACGTGTTCCAAAATTCTTGGAGATGTGTGAATAATCTTGTTAGCAGGTAATTGCTGCAAGCTGAAACACTATAACTCAGGATTTTGGATTTTGCAAGAGCTATAATGCTAACCATGGGGACCCTAATTATGGAATAAGGTCCGATGTTAGTGAGCACCTGATTCTACGATTTTCATCGGAATTGCAGCGAAGTCTAAGGTTATATAATCTTCCTAATGCACAATGTGATCAAAATGTGTTGTCTTCTGCACTTCAATCTTAGTCATAGTCATCTTATGCCTCCTAAAATATGACTTTAACACAAGCATCTTGGTTATCCGCATTTTTCATTAATGAATTGTATGTTTATATTCCTATATTTTAAAATCAACATCTTGAGTCTTTTAAATGTGATATTTGTTAGTTTTTTAAACATAACCGGATTACGTTTCCTTCAATTCTTATTAAATTTTTTGGACTCTTTGATCTTATTCATTTTGATGTTTGCGGATCATTTCTTATTTTTAACATATCCATTGTGAGATGGTTTGTTTCTTTTATGATGATTACTCTTACGTGACCTGAATTTTTTTGAGAATAATAAATTATAAGTATTACAATTGTTTATTCAATTTTACAGTAAGATACGAACATTAAAAATATATTTTGACAATGGTAAAGAATTTGTCATTCACAATGTTTACTCCTTTACTAGTAAATAAGGCATCATCCATAAACTCACATGTGTCGTCGACACCCCACAACAAAATGATATCGCAAAAAGAAAAAAATGTCACTTAGTTGAAGCTGTTAGAGCTATTCTCTTCGAAATGTCTTTTTCAAAATCATATTAGGGGGAAACAATTTTAACCGCCACATATCTAATTAATCGAATGTCATCTAGTAATGTTAGTCTTGTTCAGTTTAAGATCTCACTTTTTTCTTCCAAATGTATACATGCGGAAAAATTTAGAATTCAAAAAACTTGTTCTGGAGCTCCATCTCCAGAATTGTCCAAACGTTAATTTGTTTCGTAGATGTAACTCTGGAACTTCCTGCAACTCCTACAGCAATGTCAATGACGTCCCCCACTCAAGAAAATCGGTATTTTCAACTCCTGATCGTCTGTTCCAGCCAACAAACAATATTTAAATTGTCTCTAAATTATGTTTCTAAAACTATCTAATGATTTCTACCCCTAAAACTACATTCTAACTCGATTACAGAAAATACATTGGAAACTCGAAAACTTACAAATTATATCGAGCTTTGAATGAGTTGTAGTGTCTTGATCGTTGAGATGAATGCTCTTTATCGAACTTGATTGAAAACAATTAAGTTTGGTGAATTTTTTTTTTTTAAAGTTTGAGAGAATTTGAAGAATTTGAGAGTGAGAAGTTGAAAAATAAAGAATGAGGGAGAAGAAGGGACTTTGACGCAAATATATTATAATTTGTTCCAAAGCTATATAAACAGAAATATTTCTTAAATGTAGCTCCGAAAAAAATCAATTTTAAGTAAAAAAATGTGTGTCTAAAGATACATCTCCGAAAATAGAGGATATTTTTGAAAGTACGCATGTTGTCTAAGAACCTGAAGGAAGTGGGTAAGAAATTCTCTTTATAGATTTAGGTTAGTTTGCATCTCAAAACAAAATTTAAAATTATAAAAGCTCAAAATAGTTACCATTACTAAAATATTCTTAGGTCGAAATTCTGTATGAAGCAATCAGTTTTGACACCTTAATACAACTCGACACATTAGACTATTCAATTAGTCCTCATTTCTGTCAAACTACTGTTTCGACAAAAAAACATTACAACTCAATCAGCGATAATGGAGATTCCGCCACGACAACAAGAAACTGAATATTGTTGTTCCGTCAAACACACAACTCACAACTGCGTCGGAGTTCATCAAATCGAAATCGGTTTCAGTAACGTTTGTTTTCCGATTCGTTTTGTTGTCGTTGTGTGGTGTACTGAATAATGCATGGTTTGTTTAGTTCGTTCGCTACTGCTTGTGTTGTTGTTTAGTCCGTGTGGAGATTGTACTGTTTCCAACAGATTAATACTTTTTGGACATTAAATATATTTTATGTTTCTTTTTTAGCATTATTCTATCTTCTTTTGGTTTCATTTTTTAACTTTATTTTTTTTATATTTTTTTATCAATATAATTAGTTAATTTAGCAGTTTTTATTAGTTAAATTGATTAGATTTTAATTAATAATTTAATATTTTAATTATTAAGTAAATTTTAATTATTTGTTTACTAGATATTTAGTCGATTAATTAAGTAATACAAGATTAAAAAAATGAAGTAATTCATAAACAATATACAACAATTTGGTTGTTATTGCCTTTATTTTTTGCGTTGCGATTTCAGAGTTTAAATTCAATTTACCTTTTAAAAATTATTTAAACGCATAGATTTTATTGATCAGTCTCAGATAGAATGATTCCTACATGAATTACACTACGGTTGTTTAACATAGCGCTAAATTCAGTAGTTTAATTGTCATTTTATTTTACCTTAAAAACAATATCGTTTAAATCATCGAGTTGTTGAACTTTCAGATGCATTGCAATGTCAGAGTTTAAAAAGTAATTTAACTTCAAAAACTACTTAAACGCATGAAGTTTATTGACCAGCCTCAGATAGAGTGATTCCTATATGAATTACTCTACGATTGCTTAACATAGCGTCAAATTCAGTAATTTAATTGTTGTTTTATTTTACCTTTTAAAAAAATGCAGTTTAAATCATCGAGTTGTTGGATTTTCATATGCGTTGCAATTTCGGAGTTAAAAATTCAATTTAAATTCAGAATTTGCTCAAACGCATAGAGTTTATTGACCGACCTCAGATAAAGTGATTCCTACATAAATTACTCTACGATTACTTAACATAGCGCTAAATTCAATAGCTTAAAACACCGATTTATTTTCAATCTCTTGTCTTTCTAAGGTGTATTTTTTTGCATTAATTTCATTGTTGTTTACATTTGTTATTTATAGTTGTTTATTGAGCTTGTATTGTTAACTGTTGTAATGTGTCTCCATTTGACAAATTGTACCCGCATTCCTGTAATGTGTAATAAGCTGACTGTTTGTTGGAATTCAACCACGATCTATGGTGAATTAGTCTCAATCTTGATCTCAAGATTGTTATGTAATGACAATGAACAAAAACCAAGAACACGTTTAAAGAAGATATGTTTGAACTGCAGAGTAACTCTCTATCCACAATTGTGAAATTTTATTATCACTTTGCAATTACAAAACCGTGATATCAAACTTGATGATTACAATGATAAGAGTTCTTCTCTATTTATAGATTTAGGTTAACTTGCATCTCAAGGTAAAACCCAAACTATAAAAGCCCAAAAATATCTAATATAATCTTTCTAAATCAAATCAAATCTTTCTAAAACAATGAATTACATATTTAACACAATCTAATTCATTGTGTCTAAACTATCTACATTAATCATAGACCTTAACTTCTTGAACAAAGTTCTCTAGTTTTCTTCTAACAGATGTTGTTGCTGTGTCGTAACCTACTGTTGCATCCCCCCTTTGTGATCATGACCAATAGTATGTTCTCGTCATCAAACTCTTATCTTGTAACCTTGACTTCATCCACTTGAGATTCCTTCTTATTCGCAATGCACTCTCTTGCAAAATTACCAAAACTTTAACAAACAAAACATTGCATCTTGCTCTTGTCAATCCTTCTCTTTTCACCTCTAAAGTTTCTTTGACCACCATTCTTGCTGCAGCTACTCTCACCCTTTTGACAAGCCAAATTCTTGGAATTTTGAGATTTTTTCCCACCAAAATATGAAAATTCCATTTACTATTTATGGATCATTTTCCCTTCGATTTCTTGTCTTTCTCGTTGAAACGAGCTTACAAATTGACCTCCGCCTTTGGCTTATCATATTTCTCTCCTTCATCCTTTGTTCATGTTCCTCAAGAGAGCTTTGAAGCTCCTCATTGCTCATGTTCGTAAGATCCTTTGGTTCCTCAATCGCTACGACTATGTTCTTAAATCTTGTCGTCAAAGAACGCAAGATTTTAGCGACATCATACTGCTTCATAATAGTTTCCCAACATGCATTTACTTGATTAACCAACCGCGTAATTTCCGTCATGAAATTATTGATGGTCTCATTCTATTCCATTTGAATAAACTCAAGCTGTCTTTTGTGAATTTTTAACCTCACGACCTTCATCTTGTCAGCCCATGCATACGCCTTAGTAAAGATTTCCCACACTTTATTCAATGATTCACAATAACCAACTTTCTCAAAGTTGTCTGTATCCACACATTGATGGATAAAAAACAACGCCTTGAAATCTTTTTTCTTTTCTTCCTTATGCATTATTTACTGTGCATCTGTTATACCTTCGACAAGAGGATTCACGCCGTTCTTGATCACTTAAAAAACATTTTGGTAACTAAATAACACCTTCATTTGCTTGCACAATTTGTCCTAATTCTTCGCATCAAGGACGGGTAAGTTTGTATGGATTTTTTCATTGGAGACAAAATTTATGTTGCACACTCGGTATCTGGTGGATCGAACTAGACTCTTGATGTCAAATGTTAGAACTTGGAACCACAAGATTGGTAAAAATGGAATAATTGAGTGTGGAGAGAGGGGGGGG